ATTAAAAAAATTACTATAATTACTATGAGGATTGAATTCGAAAGGATAGAATTAATTTTGAAAAGTTCAAAATTTTAATTAATCATACACTTAGTCGACAAATCATTCAACTAAATAATATTCAATCAAATGAAATCGGAGTTAGAAAACAAAGATAATTAATTGGCAACCATGAATTTTATGTGCTGTAATATTTCCTTTTTGCCTATCCTTTTAACGCAAATATATTATTTGATTAATTATATAATTTAATATGAGTTATTATATGTATTAAATATAAATTATATTATATATATTAAAAATATTATTTAATATTAAAACATGTCCTAACTTGTTAAAATTTAACATTTTTTAAAATTTACGTTTCGGCGTGTCATGTCGTGTCGTGTCTCGTGTCGTTGTCGGTGCAACGTAGGTTAAAGTCACTGAAAAATTAGAATTTAACCAACTAATTAATTAGAAGGTGAATTGTTTGAAATAATTGAGATAGTTTACGATTGAAATTAATTGAAAATACTCAAGGAGGATCAGAGGTGAATTTTTCTAGCTACAATTTTCGTTATTAATCTTAAACTCCGTTTTAGTTCTCAGCGTTCTTAATTTGAACTACTTTTAATTGCAATTGTCTTTAACTTTAGTTCTATTATTAAAAATTTCTCTTCTAACTATTTTGATCTGTCCAAATTAAAGGGAATAGTGAGAATAGTGCTTAGTGCAAGTAATTCTCGTAGGACAATAATTTTATTTATTTTTTATTACTTGTACAACTGATATATTTATCGTGATCGCAAAGTATTTCAAAGCAATATTACATGGGGATTTCCGTAATAATAAATCAGATGGTTGAAATGCACTCTAAAAGTCAATGTGGACCCCTCCATCCATATTCTAATTATTGGGTTCATTCCCCACCAGGTATATGACATTTGACTTGGGTCAACCTGGTTGGGCCACAATATCACGCCAAATTGCAAGGCCTAATATTGAGCCCTGGAACCTGTTTGGCATCCTGCGCAAGTGAAAGTGAAATGTGAAACAGAAAACAAGGAAATCGGATATGTGATTGAAGAGAGAGAGAGAGATGATATGCAAAGTAAATTAGTAAATAGAAAGTATTTAATATTTTGGAAATTGAAATATCATTTAAATATCCTTTTGGTATTATACAAGCAAGCATCGACACGGATACTTTGAAAATTTTGAGTGTCGGACACGTGTTCGACACGGACACGCTCCGACACGCGATCAATATTTGAAAACACGTGATCAATTTTTCGACACATTTTTTCGACACGCAGTCAACTTTTTTCGACATGCGGTAATGCTCCGACACATTTTTTTTTAATTTAAATTTTATTTTATTAACTACATATAAAAAAATTAATTTATAAATTAAATTTTTTCTATTATGAAATTTAACATGAAAAATTAACAAAGTAGGAAAAATTATTTTTATTTATATTTATGTTATGAGATTTAAATATTTAATTGATTATATGATTTATTATGGACATTTATATATATATATTAAATATAAATTATATTATATATATTAAAAAATTTATTTAATATCAAAACGTGTCACAACGTATCGAAATATGATATTTTTTAGAATTAACATGTCGGTGTGTCGTGTCTCGTGTCTCGTGTCGATGTCAGTGCATCATAGGTATTATATACAATCAAATACTTTATTTTTAATTTGCTAAGATTTAAAATGATATATAATATTTCAAATAGAAAGCAAAATAAATCAGTTTCTAGCATAACAAAAATACACAGTAAGTTATGTATAATAAAAAAAAAAATACACAATAGGTTTCCAGGGGATAAAAACCAGCCGTTGGATAGCTGACAAAATAGTCAATAATAAATGCATGGCCGTTAGATCGATCAATGGTTAGCATTAACTACGTAATCATTGGGTTAAAAAAAGGAAAAAAAAAAAACAAACAAACACTAGACGACAACAATGCAATAACCTTGAAGCCAAAAAGTAAATATGTATTTATATTCAACTTCCTAACAATTTCACAGAACCAACGTTGCAGTTTCTCATCTTTTCGCTCTGTCTGAAACCGAACTCATACATCGCGTACCCTCAATAATAAAAACGCGCTCTACACCAAACATACTAAAAGAACCGAACCATCTTAAAAGCCATTAGAGAGAAAGAAAAAACACCCTTCACCTCTTTGACTGCGCGCAATGGCAGATCAACCTCCTTATTCTTCACGTAAAAGCAAAACCCACAACGATATTGACATTCTAGCAGCGGCTCAGAAGCTAATGCAGCTCAGCGATGAAGATTACAACAACGATGATGTTGATGTTAAAGGCAAGGGGAAAAGAACATCATGTGAAGAGGTTGATCAAAGACCAAACAAAATAACTTCCGCGAAGTATAAAGAGAATTTTGCGAATGATATTGAGTTGATTCCTCGTCCAAAGAAGATGAAGAAATATAGGTCTCTTGCGAGTATATATAGGGTGACAAGACCCATTAATGCTGGAAAAAGGGACAAAAGGTGAGTGCTTAAGCTTCAACAAGTAACTTAGTAGCTAAGGTTAATTTAGTCTTACCAAGTATCTTGAGTTACTGGGTCACTCCCAGATTTTGCTGTGAAAAATAATTAGAGTATTTTTGCGGAACTAATTACCTTCTCTTGTTGTAGGAGAATCCTGAGATCACTTTAATTATTATTAGCTAATTATCAATGACAATGTATTTTTTTGTCTATGGTTAGTTTAGTTTGGGTTGATGGCGAATGTGGAATCTTTCATTTCTCTTACTAGTTTATAATTAATTTTGAACGTATAGTTGATTTTCTAGCTCACATCTGAAAACTGGTGATAGGAAGAATATTATAATTTCGTTAATTTGTGATAAAAAAAAAATTGGGAGACATCTTATATAACTCCATTCAAAATTATCCCAGGCAGAATTGCGGTAGCCATTGTTTCTAACTAGGCTCATTGTTTGTTTTATTTTATTTGGTATAGTTCTCGTTTTTTATGCAGAAATGGAGTGTTTTACTATATGAGCACGCAGACACACTCACCCATGTACATATGTCATATTCCTAACTCAGAATTCCTATATCACTTGGAGATTAAAATGTATAACTTTTTGGTTTGATATTTATGTATTCTGCATGCGTTTAACTATTCTTTGTTCTATGCTGGAGGAGGAATTTCATTATTAAGAATAGGCGTTAATGGGTTATCCTAATGTACAGAATATATATGTAAGCATAAAAAAATTCCTAATTCCTATGGAGAAGTAATTCAATAAGCTATTCATATTAAAGATGTTTATTTGATGAAGAATATATGTCCGGCACGTATCTGTTTTGTTCATGGTTCGGATTTTAAACTACACGCAATTTAATGTGAAGGATTTCATGTCTGATCTTTTATTTTATCATGCTACCCACTCAAATTTTTATTTTATCAATAAACTTGAGTGGTAAAAGGCGACCACTTTGCTCACTCAAAACTTGTGAAGTGTAACACTGTACGTGCACCCGGTACATTTGCCTTTATGATTTTAGGCGCCCTGAAATTTTTTTATGTGTAATCGATTTTAACTTTTGATTTCATTAATGGTATCGTAACTCCAACCTATGTCCGCGCACGTACATAACACATAAAAATCTAAGTAACCAATTTAAGTTCATTGTAATTGCTGCCTACGGTGGCGGCTGATATCCAGACCATTTTCTGTTTAGGTATAATACCAACTGTGTTAAGAATTTTCGAGAACTGTTGTTTCTATTTTTTGATATTATGAAAGTAGTTATTTTAACCTTCTATTTTAAGGATTAATTTTTCTATGTTGTAAGATATAATTTTATTTTCTACACACACATAAAAATATATAGAGCTCATGTAGAGTCGAAAAGAAGAGAAAAAAAAAAAACACGAGCTCTATACACTTTTATATATGTGTAAGAAATAAAATTATCTCTTGTAACATAAAAAATATTAATCCCTTTGTTTGAAGACCAATTACCTGTTTACGTTTTTATCTGTTTGAATGATTGTTTCCCTGTTTCCAATTTAAGAAAGGAATGAAAATAGAAGAGAATATTGTACAGACCCTCATCACCGTTAACTAACTATAAGTAATGCTGACGATACAAGTACATTCTCCTTCACTCTCGATCAAACTTCCTTCGAGTGTAATTTTAGTACCCGTTTAAGTGGCTGGCTGAGGTATTTGATACCAACAAAATTTGAAATTTCTGTATATTTTTATCTTGTATAGACTAATCCATAAACAAGTGATGTGAAGCAGCATTCTCCCTTAATGGGTTGAGTACGTCGAAGAATATTTTTAAGACCAGTGAATCGAATACTTAACTTGCCAAATCTTTCACACCCCTTTTTTATTAATATATACCTTTACAAACTGTCTTTCGGTTGTGACGTGTTCAGTTGCTAAGCGACAATGGTCAACCATGTGATTATTTATTATAAGAGATAATTTTTTATCCTGTATAGATTATATGGAAAAAATATATATAATATAAATCATACATATTTTTATATATATATATAAAATAAAAATATCTTTTATAACACGAGAAATATTAATCCAAACAAAAAAATTTGATGAACTTTAAAAAAAATGTTCCCAAAAAAACATCTAAAACTATAATTGAATATATAGAATAATACAATGATTAATCCAAGAAAACCACAACATTAGGGAATGCAAAACACCGGCCATGCTGATGTACTGATAAAATGATTTTCTCGCTCTCAATACCAAATAAATAAATAATCCAAATAAAATAATATTATTAATTTCCTCGCTCCATGTTGTAATTAAAACATATGCCTGGAATTTTCAAGTGACTTTTTGAAGTAAACCAAGGTTCCTGTAATGACTTAAATTAATGGGATATCAATGATGCTCACATGAAGGTGATGCACTAAAGTAGCTGACACAGAATTCAAATTTTCATTTGCTCAGACTTAAAAAGTTATGAGAGAATAGAAAAACCAGAAAATTAGAGTCTTCAACTGCTCAGTAAAAAAGAGTAATCTATGACGCCTCATTCCTATCCAAAATTTCAACAGAAATGAAACTTCCACCTAAAAACTTCGAAAATAACTTACTGCTATAATTCCTATTAAAAAATTTTACAATTTAATTTTTTTAAGTATTTAAACAAATGAAATATATCTAACTCCACCTACCGATCTAGGCAAAATTATAGAGGTTACAAAGAAAAACTACAAAAACAAAACTGCAGGAACATGGCTGCAACATTGAACGTTGCAAATAATACCAAAATATTAGCAGATCACGCAAATGATATGCAGAAGGACAACCATCTAACAGAACATACACATGATAACCAACATCATATATCAAGCAGCTGCTCCCCGGCCTTCATAACGAACACGTCCCCGGCCTCTTCCCCTTCCACGTCCACGACCTGCAAAATCATCAAACAGAAATTACTATAATGTTCAGTCAAGTAGCATGCAGGAAGAGAACTTTAAAATGCTGAAAAAGAAGGAATAAAAGGCACGGAGGAAAATTAAAAAGACAAGAAGGAAAACAGTTAATGAATTCAAATGAATTTTCTTCTGTATCTTCCGTAGCCTGATTTAATAGGAAGCACCATCTAATGCAAATAGCACATTTAAAAACACAAATCCATTCACTATGCCAGCACACACCTGGCATCAATCAATATTTCATCTGATAATACAACAAATGTAATTTAGGCATAACAACATAAATTTATTTTCTACAAATCTAAATTTCATGAACTTGCATGCTTACCACGTGGGGCAGGTGGCGCATCATATTCACCATAGTCATAGTACCCAACCGGCTGGGCACCATAGCCTCGTCCCCGTCCCCGGAAAGCACGACCCCTTGCACGGCCTCGCCCTCTGCCACCATAGCCACGTCCACCATCCCAGCCATCACCATTTTCCATACCCCCATTGTAAAATCCTAAGCATAAAAGATTATATCCTAATAAGCACCTTTTGCATCTTTAAAAATTCCACAATAAGGAGTTCAATAAACCATTTCTGAACATTCTATAACTATAGAACAGCCAATTACAGTGAAATAAGTGAAACTAAGTACTTGGCAATACCTCTACCCCTGCCCCTTCCACGACCACGACCACGCCCTCTTCCTCGCATCCTTGGTGAGCCTTCTGTATTAGATCAAATTATAGTAAACATGCCATAATAAACACACTTATTTCACTTTTTTTTAAAATTAAAAGAAAAAACTTTTAACTCACCTCCTTCCTCTTCATATTCATTTAAAGGTTTTACTTGATCAACTGGAATAGGAGGTTGGTATCTGCATGAGGGGAAAAAAAGAAACTTAAAATACCAACAATAAATATAATTAAAAAGAACTCAACCAGTCTAACGAGAGGCATGGGGGCTGCCCCCCAGCCCCACCCCCAAAAATAAATAAAAAAACCAAAGTATTATATCCTAGATTCACCCCAGGTATAAACCGTACTGTTGCTTGAATTTTTCATTTCAGTCTAGCAAAATAATGTAAGCAAAACTAACTGAGACACCCAAAAAATCTTCTTTTTGTCAACACAACTGATTGCATGTACAGAAGCTTGTAGAAACATAATACAGAAGACAATCAGAACTAGTAGATCATGACTGGACCTTAATATTTACAGAATTGAATATTTAATAGAATCCATTTGGAGCCAAAAGTTAGAAGAGGAAAAAAATGAAAAGTGCAAACTTATAATCAACAGAAACTGATATACTAAAAAGTTAATGAAGTTGAAACCTTCCATCAGTCTGCACGAAAGTCATATAGGAATAAGTACAACAGCATGATAGACACAGTATTTACTTCACTCCTTGAAATCAAAGAACTAATATGTTCCCTCGTCCTCAACATGGTATTTGAAAAACAGGGTACAAATTAAAGTCAAATGCCAAACAAAGAAACATGTCAAGTAAATTTACATGCTCCTCTCCACGTTTAATGAGATTATACAGACCTGACTTTTTCTAAAATAACATAAACAACCCTTCGTTTAGAATTTAACAAGAAAAAAAGGGAATGTACGTGATAAAATTTAAGACAAGGCTTCCAATTTTTTAGAAACAAGGAAATTATGTGTTTGAAATAAGGGAGGTTAAACTTCATTAGAGCTTTAATAATTTACTCAAACGTGTTTTAATAAAAACCTCTTTGTCCTCTCCCATTCCCAATTTGACAAACAATATCAAACTTGTGTGACAACAAAGTCATAGTCTCCTGATCATCCATAGCAAGATATAATACAGTATTTACTTCTGAAACAAAGTAACACCATGGCATTACTATATATTTAGCACTTATATCTTGACCCATAACTTGTAGAACTACAACAGCAAGGAAAAAAGACTTACTAACTTATAGCTGTATTGAATATAAAAATAAATAAACTTTGCACAAGTGATTTACCAGAAGTGGGGAAAACATTTTATTTATGAGCACAATTCATCAAAAATCATAAATGATCATGATTTATCAAAGAGACTAACGAAGCCAATATTAACTAGTGATCTAGGAGCATGTCCCATAAATAAATAAGCCCATTAAAATACAAAGCATCTAACAACTACACTCAAGAGATACAGATGTCACACAACATCACACAAGCTCTTACCCAGTGGAGGATGTATCCAGTTCTTTCATTGACAAGGTAATTGTGATCATTGAAACATGGCGAGTAGTCTCCAAACTGATCAAGTAAAACACAAAATGAGAACAATCAATCCCATACACACAGAAATTAAGGATTTAACGGGGTAGCATAAAAGAAACAAAATCCATACGGAAGAAGGCCTTCTTCTAGCGGTTCCCACATGTCAGTTATATCAGTTGATCCGATTAGAGTGTTCTGATGCAGGCCAACAATCCTTCTCTGAAACAAGTAAACAGGTCAGTCACAAAAGATAAACAAATGCAGACTACCAACATATTACATAAAGATCTCTATCCTCCAACCTTGATCAGTTCAGCAATCATTACAGTCTTATTTATAGCACGTCCCATTGCTTTAAGAACAATTTCCTCAGATCCTTTCTCCTACAGAAAATACATGTAGAGCAAGATAAAAATTTAAAAACTAGTAAAATATGATTTAACTCTATAAATTGATACTTCCATGTATGGAACACAAAAAAAAATAAAAAATAAAAGGGGACAATCCTAAAATGAACAGAAAATCAATGTAAAATGATCAAGTAAACAAAGTAAAAATTGAAATATACCGAGAAAAATAGGCCAAAGCAACAACAAGGAATTACTAAGAGGAAGATGATTATCCCAATGATAAGATAATTTACAGAATATAATTTTTCTTCCACTGAGACGAAAGGAGAAGTTATCAAGCATCACAAACAGTGGAGTTTTGGGGGATAAGTTTGTTGTATCCTACAAAACAGAGATGAAAATTTTGGGGAATATATTTATATAAAAAAAAAAAAAAAACTGCAAAAAAATTCTTGTTTTAATTTTTCACCCCTAGGGTCTGTTTGGCTTGGGGGTAATATAGGGAGAAGTCATAATAGAATCAAGTTTTAGAAGGGGAAAAATGGAAGTTTGGCATATACAGTAACAGAAAGTAGTAATTTTTCTAGGAAGGAAAACTTTCCCCCATTTAGGGAATAACAAGTCAGGGGAAAATTATTGTCCTCTCTCAACCCACAAGCTATCACTCTGGCCATCACTCTCTTCATTTGCACATGCTAATGATGCTATTCATTCTATCATCTCTCTCAGGAGTCAGGACTATGTTCGCTCTCTCATCACTCTCTAACTCATGTGGCTCTCTTGTTGTTTTCTCTCTCTCTCTCTCTCTCATCAGACATGTGGATTTACCAGAAAATATTTCTTCATTGATTTTGCAAAGTGTTTGTTTTATTACTGGTTTTCTTTAATGATTGAATGGCCAAAGTTCAATTTTATATTTCAATTAGCAGGTTTCAGGTAAATTTGAGTCAAGAATCAAAAGATCCGTTGGCGCAATCATTTCTTCCAGCTACTCCATTATGTGACGTGAGTACGAGATTTTATTAGTGAACCAAACAAACAATAAAAGTAAGGCCTTTGACGGTCGCTTATAGGGACACAGAACAAGCGTGTGTAAATGATTCAAATCCCTCTTAATTTTGCCCATTTTTTTTGGTAAGAGTGCATAAGAGATAAATTTCAACGGTTAAAAAATGCATTAAAGGAGATGATAGGAATATAGTGATAGTAACCTGAAGGAGAGTGGTGGCGTAGGTTATATAATTCCTCATCCTTCCTTGAGTAGTAATGCGTATCTCGTTCTCATTTATAGGACTCTCTGCTTTCGGCTTCTCCACCCTCTGGTACCTATCCATCTGAAACAAACCACAAAAGCAATTCTAAGAAACAAAACATCAATTACGCATGCTAGGGTTTAGAGAATCATCTCATCTCACACACCGTTGTGTTGTGCGTGGCTAAGATGGAAGCGCGACGAGTCTGGATGGCTGGCTTTGGGGGATATGTTAATGCTACCACTCTCTCTCTCTCTCTCTCGCTCGCTCACACACACTTTCTCTTCTTCTTCCCAGTTGGCAGCGTTTGGGGATGAGGCTATGTGATTTGAACTTTAGGCCCCAAAACAAGCAAAGAAAGAAACCCTACACGCGGTGCTTGCGCAAGCGCTCTCTATGCCAAAAGCAGAGAGGAATAAGGCTGATGAATAGGGCTACGAGGTCCCGGTCTTACGCCGACGAGTCCGCAAAACTAACCCAATGGGCTTTTTGTATGGGCCTACCTACCTACCTATCATCATATTATATTACATTAAAATAATAGATAGAAAAAATCTACTGATAGGTTAGAAGTTTTTCATTCATTAGATGCTAAAATAATTATGGGATTTATTTTTTGAAAGGATATAAATTTGAGAAAGGTTATACTTACTACCTATTTTTCTTACTATCTCTTACTATCAAATCTTAACCGTTGATTTCCATCAATCTAACGGTTATAATTTATTGAAAATTAATAATTAATTAATAAGTATAATCCAATAAATTACAACCATTAGTTTGACGGAAATCAACGGTTAAGATTTAGTAGTAAGAGGTAGTAAGAAAAATATGTACTAAGTATAATTTTTTCCAAATTTTATAGAGGAGAGAGAATATAAAAATCCATCAATTATACACTAAAACAACGTTGTTATTTAAAATGATACAAAGTTGTGTCCGTTAAAATGACAAACGTTTTCCCTTAAAATTATAACAAAAATGACAATTCGTAACTTGTGAATACCTTCCAATTTTCAAAGTTTCGCAAGGTTATTCTAATTCTATAGTAGTTTAACTATAACATGGCAAAGCGTACAGTAGATTGTTGATTCTGATCAAAATTGTTTTCAAATGAATCTCAACCAATGCCATTACAATTAGACCATTATAAAACCATGGTCATATTTAGATGGAAGCCACCCACTTTTCTCAACTTCTCTATTTTCTCTAATTTTACAACGGTCTCTTCAATTAGGCATCACTTTGCATATTTCTTTTTGCTAAAATGATTAAAAGTAAAATTCATCTTACCACACTTTTGTATCATACAATTTACTAATTTGTTGTCCAAGACAGTTGAATGAGAGCATATTCATTGCACTGCCATAGCAATAGTCTAGTAAACAAGACAAAAGACGCGACACAATGGTTAAAATACATTGAGATTAATATAGTAAAGAATTGATTACGAATATTACCAACTGAACAATAAATTTACGTAATCATACATCTAATAACACAAGTTATCAATCAAATATTATAAACTAAAACTCAATTTCTGAAAATTAATGATAAAATGATGTTGAACGTCCTCTTCAAGAACCACAACGCTGGTAAAAACTTCTTTAAACTTCCCCATTAAACTTGGCTTTATATATTTGAGGTTGCTGCAAAATAGAAATAACTTTTACTTAATATATTATTTTAAAGGAAAAGATGAGCAACAAAACTTAAGGCATGTGATTTTGATCAAGTCAAGATTGTTCATAAAAGGTGATTGAAATCCATTTTGAAAAAATATCTTTCATATCAAGTCAAGATTTCCATGAAACTATCTTTCAGCCAATATTTCGTACCAAAGATGATGAATTTAGATCTTGTGTTCTTTATAGAAGTTGTATATCTCTCTCTTATCTTTTCAACGAGACCAAAATCACATCAATTCAACAAAATAACTCAAGTTGTGCCCAAAATATGAAACAATGTTCTTGGTGTCGAATTTCTAACCTTTCAACAGGTTGGTAATCGATTACCTGCATATGATAATCAATTATGTCTGCGACAGAAAGTCTGTAACAGCTATAAACGGCTAATTTTGGGTAAAATCACTATATAGACATTCCTCACGGCCCTAAAACTGAATTATCACTATTCTTACACATCTTAAGGATAATTTGAGAGCTTTTACACTACCATTTGCATATCTTTCAATATCTTTCAAAGATCATACATTCTTGAGCTCATATCTTGAAAATTCATATACCCATAGTGCTTCAAGTTACATGACTCACACTTTGAGAATGTATATTTATTTCCAAACACTTTCTTCTTGTATTTTTGAGTTGAAAGGGTTATGAGATCCATTGTGTTTCAGAGGTGGACAAATAACTAAGTAAATTTGGAGAAAATTGTTAGGTTGTCAAGTACTCATAAACTTGGAGGTTGTAAGGTATCCAAAAACCCGAAATCTTGGAAGATTGTAAAGATTTGTCAAGCACCCGTGAAGCTTGACCATTAGTGAAAAAGTTGATCAAGCAACTTCAATTTGGACATAGGTCACAAGTGGTGATGACCAAACTAGGATATATTGTGTTTATAATTCTCTAAACACACTCTTTATTTCTAACACTTTAATTGCTTCTTTGATATCTTGTATTTGCTAGTATATGTTCTATAATTGTGATAGATTATATGTTATGGATACTTGAATTAATCGATTAGTTTTTTATATGTTCTAATTTGCTAGAATGGGACTTTTGTGGGGAAAAAAACTAATAATACTCAATTTCTCATTCCTAACAAGTGGTATCAGAGCTTAGTGCTCTATTAGAGGCTTAATCGCCTAAAGTTAAAGATCCTTATTGGAGCTTCCAAAAATATTTTAAAAAATGGAAAGTTTTGAATATGATAAATCACCATTCTTTGATTGTGAGAATTTTGAATGTTGGATGAAAAGAATTGAAGTTTTTATTCAATCAAGTCATCTTTGCATGTGACATTTTGTAGATAAAGGCTTTTAATTGAAAATAGAAGAATGCATGAATGATTTCAATAAAAGATGTTTTGTCTTCAATCTTGAGACTATGAAAATACTTAGAAAAAATGTATATAATGACGAATATGCTAAGATTAAACATTGTCTGGATGCTAAAGATATATGGGATACTCTTATTATTATTTATCTTGTCAATGACGAGTTTGTGATTAAAGATGCATATAGAGAGCAAAAAGAGCAACAATCATTGGAGGAAGAAAGTGATAGTAGATGCATCCAACAAGGGATTGAAAGTGATCAAGGAAGCTCAAAACCTATTTGTGAAGACGATGGTATTCAACATGAGGTAACAAATACCAATTTTGATTATAGTTGCAATGTGCTTATGATGAGTTGAATGATAGCTTGTTGAATTTGCAAAATAGAAAGTATTTGCTTCATTGAAAATCAAATTGAATCTGAAAAATGTATATGATTTTCAAAAAGAGGAAATATCTTTGAATTGTAAAATATCAAGTGCTTTTGAAAATTGCGTTGATGTTAATAATCAAGTTGAGGAATTATCATCCAAAGTTTCCATAGTTGATAATCCTACATGCTCATATTGCATGTTTAAAAATGAAAATAAGAGTAGTACTTTTGTACATGGAAAACCTAAAAATGATTGTGGAAATAATAGTTTGGATAGTGATAATAACAAGAAAGCCAAAGTTTTGAAAGTTGATCTTGAAAAAAAAAGTTAATTTGCAAACATATTGTATGTAATTATTGTGGTAAAATAAGACATATTTCTCATTTGTGCTATCATAGAAGAAATTCTTATGTGAGAAATAAGATGGTTTGGGTTACTAAAGTACATATCAATATTAATCTTAACCCTCATGGACCCAAAATGAAATGGATACCAAAATGTCCTTCTAGTGTTTTTAATATGCAGAAAATTAATCACAAGGATGGACAAAAGGTTTAAGAGAAGAAGATATCATCATAGAAAATGCCTCCTAGACCCAATGGTATAAATGTCAATCAAAGAAGGAATGAAATTTCAACCAAAGTTTCCCACATGCACAAGGTGGAACCTAGAAGGTTCAAAATCCAAAGAGAGTAGTAATGGGCAAGAACAAGTTCTCATTTGTTTACAAAGGCCAAGGCATACCAACAAAGCCCGGCACAGTTTGTAGATTGTTGGGTCCTTTAAGCATGCTGACAGGGGTTCGATCCCTGGCCGCGTGTATAGAAAAGGCTTTGTTGGGAGAGGTTGTACCCACGATCGCGTGATCTCTCCGCCTCGAGGGGATTAGTCTTTGGCTTTCGGCTGGGAGATACCCTTTGAACAATTTCAAAAAAAAAAAAAGGCCAAGGCATCAAATGTCTTTACCTCTTGTGTTTGTTCACTTGTGAATCCAATGAATATAAGGTATATATCTTATAGGCCTTAGGTAATAGAAAAATTATATGCACTTGATTTGAATGCTAAAAGTTATGCATAACACATGTTTATATCTATAGTTATTCACTTATATGTTGATTTCTGACATAGCTTGTCAATCAATGAGGGTGGACCTGAAGAATTGCAAATGTCAATGTGGCAAGTTCACAACATATAGGTATCATGCAACCACGTCATAGCAGTGTGCAAGGTAGCAACCATGAACATTCATCAATACGTGGATCTTGTATTCTCCATGCATTACATTGCTTAGGTATATGTTGTACAATGGTATCCAATCGGTAAAGAGTTATTGATTCCACCAGGACAAGAAAATTCTAGGGTAGCAAACATTCTCTAGAATTTCAATTAAATTCGAACCCATAGCTGATGATAGAACTAGAATAGATATTTTCTGTTTCCTAAGGGTTCTGTCAATTGATATGTTTCTACAAATAATTGAAATTCAATTTCTTGATCTGTATCTTCAATCTTTTGTGTAATCCCAAATCCAAACTTAGTACACGAAAAAGGAAGACTAAAGTCTTCAAGAATACAAAATGAGATGGATTAGGTTGAATCCTCAAGCAGCCAGAGTAGATGTAGACATTGCAAGCAAGTTGGTGATAACATACGTACATGTCGAATGAGGATTAAACAAGTGTGATTGTATTTTGTGAGATGTATGAAGGAGTTATGATTGTATTTTGTATTTGGTTGAAATATACCTTGTTGAGGCGGTAGTCAGCTGTCCTCGTTCTCCTCTTTTCTGTCCATTATCAAATTGTCATCTATAGTCCAAATATACTAATACATATGGAATGAATAAAGATTGCACCATTCGTATAGCTAAATGACACATTGGTACAATAAAACTTGGTTTGATGCATAACAACAGAATTGGTAAGCAAGGTAGGGGTTATAAAGCCAATAATCTCCTCCCCAAGTCCAAATGTACGTGAATGGATATAGAAACTCACTTGGACCCAAAAATATCGTGGAAAAAAATTTGGACAGTCAAGTTCAACTGATTTACTTGGGTAACCTATACTGGTCTACTCAAGTACAAATTTTTCTCCACCAGATTTTTGGGTCCACTTGAGTTTTTATAACACTCGTACATTTGGACTTTGGGAATATCTTTTGGGTTTCATAACACTTACGGATAGTCCTAACCAATTAATGGTACAAACGAATGAAGGACACTTGGTTCCAATATACCAAATTGTCAATTATCTCAAAGAATGAGCAAAGCATGATTCAATTGACATATACTCATACATTTGAACTTGGGGAGGGGATTTGCTCATGTAAAATGTAATGCCTCTTTTCGGATCCATTTTAAGCGGCAAAATAACAACATTATGCTAAAATTAAAACATAAACACAATAAGCATTAACAAACATTCATTTCATTAATAAAACTTCATTACATAAACGATGAATACAAAAAAAAGGACACATACATCAAGATCCTAGAACAAAGCTACAAACATTAAAAAAGAACCCTAAACCTAATGCATATCATCTGAGTGCATTTCATTATCATCATCACCAACAACGATTCATCTACAGTCCTAGAAGCATGTCTGTATCCTACCTCCAAGCGACCCATCCTCGTCTCCAGACTAGTAAATCGATGCTCCATGTGTCTATATCCGCTAAACTCATGTGCCAACCCCCTAAAGTCATGTGTTAAGTAATGCATGGATGTCATGACATAATCAATGGTCCATCCACCCTCAAGAGCAGGAGGAGGTGGTGGACGAACGTCGGGCAGCGACATGTCAAAAGCGTCAGCACCATCATCATCGCCATCAGCATGAGCATCATCCATACGTACATCGTCGTTAATCGGGACTTTAGGCACAGGTGCACAATCTCACACTACTCCAACAGAAGCTTGCCAAACATGGCATTCCAACCCTTGTGCATATTCAAAGTCTCTGTCTCGATGGGCACACCAAAATATTGCAATATCTTTTGAATCTGGTACGCATATGGGAATGAACCAAATCTCGCAGTCTTATGCATAAGTATGCATATATAGTGCCTCCAGTTCACCTGTATGTTATGACGAATGGCCCATATCACAACAAAATCACCTTCAAGCACCTTCGCGTGATTATGCAGTCACTGGAACAGGATGTGCGTCATAACATAGAACAGTATACGTGCAGACACATTCAGCAATCCCACAGGATACTGAGCAAAACGGCCACGTATCACATCATGCCTCCGAGTCTCCTCCACAATATCATCCTGCTAATATCCATCAATAGTGGCACCCAATGACTTCAACTTGCAAATCCCTCTGATCATAAAGTCCTTCACAAAGCAAGTGTGTGCCACCAGATCATTGTTAAACAAGTAATCAAACGGCATATCTAAAATCTCCTCCTCAGCTGGCCTAGATGACGATAATCAATTATGCCTGATCTTAGACCTTTTTTGGGTCACGATTCTTTTTGAAGGACGTCTTTCAGCCATGAATTTCAATTACAAATCTGCCAAAGCACATAAAATTAATCAACAACACAAAACACAACATACTATTAAAAAAATCAAAAATATTTGAGACCGCACAAAAGAAAAAAAACAAAATTCAAAACATAGGGTTCATATAACATTGGGTTCACAACTTAAGGTTCATAACAAAATCAAAATTAAAATCAAACAAACAACCCAAAAAATGAACAAAGAAAGTAAAAATTCAACAACAACAAAAGGAGATTTCAGGTAAGGTTCATAAAAAACAAAAAACAAATATATAACTAAATATGATTCCAATCAGTTGAAGAAAGAGACGCTGATGACGAACTAGGAAGGACTGATCGATTTCAACAAGATTTCTGGGTGATCGCACAAAATTTTGGCTCCTATTTGAAAGGGTACACGAGTATTAGATATACCCTCTTGGCTGAAATGAAAGTTTTATAAAAAAACTTAGCTTGCACAAGATACTCGAGTACTTAAGCCTTTTACTTGAGTACCTTCAAACTCAAAAAATTCATGAAGAACCCTCTATGTCACAAAAACTCAGAAAATTCATGACTATCCTAATGTCACAAAAAAAACTAGAGTACAAAGCTCATACTCGAGTACAACTTAGTCAACGATCAAACATGAACAAATAGATAAAATATTTTGTTACGAAAGCAAAATTATAATATTTATTTTAATAAAGAGTAAAAAAGTCAAACATCTGTTCCTATAATGACTTAAATGCACATATGATATCACTGATTCACTAATGCACATATGAAGGTGATACGCTGAAGTTGCTGCCATAGAATTCAAATATTCATTTGCTCAGACTTAAAAAGTTAAGAAAGACCATAGAAAAATCAGAAATTAGAGTCTTCAAGTGCTCGTTAAAGACACACTAATCTATGACGCCATCATTCCCACCCAAAATTTAAAGAACAGGAATGAAACTTCGACCGAAGCAAACTTCGAAACTAACTTCATGCTATAATTCCTATTAAAAAATGTTACAAATTTGATTTATTTTTTTTTTTTTCAGTATTTAAACAAAGGACTAACTCCACCTATCGATGTTGGAAAAATTATAGAGGTTACAAAGGAAAACTACAAAAACAAAACTGCAGGAACAAGGCTGCAACACTGAACGCTTCAAATAATACCAAAATATTAGCAGATCTCGCAAATAATATGCAGAAGGGCAACCATCTGACAGAACATACACATGATAATCAACACCCACTATATATCAAGCAGCTGCTCCCCGGCCTGCATAATGACCACGTCCACGGCCTCTTCCCCTTCCGCGTCCACGGCCTGCAAAATCATCAGATAGAAATTACTATAATGTTCACTCAAGTAGCATGCAGGATGAGAACATTAAAATGCTGAACAAGAAGGATTAAAAGGCACGGAGGAAAATCAAAAAGACAGCAAGGAAAACAGTTGAAGAATTCAAATAAAGTAATTTTCTTCAGTATCTTCCGCAGCCTGATTTAATAGGAAGCACATGTAATGCAAATAGCACACTTAAATCCATTCACTATGCCAGCACACACCAGGCATCAATCAATATTTCAGCTGATAATACAACAATTGTAATTTAGGCATAACAACTCATCTTCATTGTCTACAAATCTAAATTCCATGAACTTGCATGCTTACCCCGTGAGGCAGGTGGTGCATCATATTCACCATAGTCATAGTACCCAACTGGCTGGGCACCATAGCCTCGTCCTCGTCCCCGGAAAGCACGACCCCTTGCACGGCCTCGGCCTCTGCCGCCAAAGCCACGTCCACCATCCCAGCCATCACCATTTTCCATACCCCCATTGTAAATTCCTAAGCATAAAAGATTATATCCTAATAAGCAACATTTGCATCTTTAAAAAATCCACAATAAGGAGTTCAACAAACCATTTCTGATCATTCTACAATCTATAGTACAGCCAATTACAGTGAAATAAGTGAAACTAAGTACTTGGCAATACCTCTACCCCTGCCCCTTCCACGACCACGCCCTCTTCCTCGCATCCTCGGTGAGCCTTCTGTATCACAGATCAAATTATAGTAAACATGCCATAATAAACATACTTATTTCACTTTTTTAAATAGTAAAAAAAAAAAACTTTTAATTCACCTCCATCCTCTTCATATTCAAATAAAGGTTTTACTTGATCAACTGGAAGAGGAGGTTGGTATCTGCATGAGGGGGAAAAAAAACTTAAAATACCAACAATGAATATAATTAAAAAGGGGGATGTATGTGATAAAATTTAAGACAAGGCCTCCAACTTTTTAGAAACAAGGAAATTGAAATAAGGGATGTTAAACTTCATGAGAGTTCTAATAATTTACTCAAACGTGTTTTAATAACAAATCTTTGTCCTCCCCCATTCCCAATTTGACAAACAATATCAAGCTTGTGTGACAATGAAGTAATTTTCTCCTTATCATCCATAACAAGATATAACACAGTATTTACTTCTAAAACAAAGTAACACCATGGCAGCTACTATGTATTTATTTAGCCCTTATATCTTGATCCGTAACTTGTAGAACTACAACAGAAGGAAGAAAGGCTTACTAACCTATAGTTCTATTGAATATAAAAACACAAACTCTGCACAAGTGATTTACCAGAAGTGGGGAACATTTTATTTATGAGCACAATTCATCAAAATCATAAATGATCATGATTTATCAAAGAGATTAACGAAGCCAATCTTAACTAGTGATCTAGTAGCATGTCTCATAAATAAATAAGCCCATTAAAATACAAAGAATCTAACAACTACACTAAAGAGATACAGATGTCACACAAGTTCTTACCCTGTGGAGGATGTATCCAGTTCTTTCTTTGACAAGGTAATTGTGATCATTGAAACATGGCGAGTAGTCTCCAAACTAAGCAAGTAAAACACACAATAAAAACATTCAATCCCATACACACAGAAATTAAGTATTTAATGGGGTAGAATAAAAGAAACAAAATCCATACGGAAGAAGGCCTTCTTCTAGCGGTTCCCACACGTCAGTTATATCAGTTGATCCGATTAGAGTGTTTTGATGCAGGCCAACAATCCTTCTCTGAAACAAGTAAACAGATCAGTCACGAAAGATAAACAAATGCAGACTACCAACATATTACATAGAGATCTCTATCCTCCAACCTTGATCAGTTCAGCAATCATTACAGTCTTATTTATAGCACGTCCCATTGCTTTAAGAACAATTTCGTCAGATCCTTTCTCCTACAAAAAATACATGTAGAGCAAGAATAAATGTTAAAAAAATGGCAAAATATTAATTTAACTCTAGATAAATTGATACTTTCACACACCAAAAATAATAAAATGGTGAAATCCTAGCACCATTTCAGAAATTTAATGTAAAATGATCAGGTAAACAAAGTAAAAATGAAAATATACAGAGAAAAGTAGGCCAAAGCAACAAGGAATTACTAAGAGGAAGATGATTATCCTAATGATAATACAATTTACAGAATATAAGTTTTTTCCCACTGAGACTGTGTGAAAGGAGAAGTTACCAAGCATCACAAACAGAAGAGTTTTGGGGATTAGTTTGTTGTTTCCTTCAAAACAGAGATGAAAATTTTGGAGAATATGGGCCTATTTGAAATTTGTTTCGAAAAAAAGTTTTTTGATTTTCAGAACAAAAAATCTTATAAGGCCTGTTTTGTTAAAAAAAAAAAAATTAAAATTGTAGCTGTTATTTTGTTTTTAAAATCAAATTTAGAGAACATACCTAAATTGTTTTTGTTTTGTGTTTTGACTTTTAACTTTCAAAACCAAAAAAAAAACATAGAAATCATTTATTTCATTAACTATTCTACTAAGTACAAAACAGCTTTGAAAACAAAAAAACCAAAACACAATCAAACACACCCTAAATTTCTAAAAAAGCTGTATAAAAATTCATGCTTTAATTTTTCACCCCTAGGGAATGTTTGGTGTGAGGGCAATATAGGGAGAAGTCCTAAGAGAATAAATTTTGGCATGGCATGGCATGGCATATCAGTAACAAAAAGTAACAATTTTTCTGGGAAGGAAAACTTCCCCCCATTTATGGGTTAACAAGTCGGGGGGAAATTATTGTCCCCTCCTAACCCACAAGCTATTGCTCTGGCCATCACTCTATTCCTTTGCACATGCTAATGATGCTATTCATTCTATTATCTTGGACTCTGTTCATTCTCTAACTCACGGGGCTCTCTTGTTGCTTTTTCTCTCTCGCACCAGACATGTGGATTTACCAGAAAATATTCTTCATTGACTTTGCAAAGTGTTTGTTTATTTTACTGGTTTTCTTTAATGATTGAATGGCCAAAGTTCAATTTTATATTTCAATTAACGGGTTTCAGGTATATTTAAGTCAAATATCAAATTATGATTGTCTAGAATGAGCTTTTCTTAGTATTTCAAAGCGATACTTATGGGGTGTATTGGATTGGGATTTCAAAGGATTTTAATGGATTATTTTTGGACAAAAAAATCCATTGGTATTCAATTAGGATTTTAAAGGATTGAAAAAAAATCACGTGGTATTCAATTAGGATTTTAAAAAATTTTACACTTAGAACAAAAACCCCAAAGTTTACAAGATTGATTGCAAAAAATTCCAAACGAAATTTTATCATGAATTTTACTGATTGCAATGTTGTTAAAAAGTAGAGTCTACGTAGAAATGGTAGGGGTGAGCAGAAACGTAAAATCGTAAAACGTAAACGAAACGAAAGAGTTTACTGCGAACAATATATATATATATATATATATATATATATATATATATATATCCAACATATATAAAACTAAAATACACCAATATATAGAAAGGAATTATAATTTATAATCAGTATATTCTAACAATGTTTTTATTATATAGAATGGTATTATAATTTATAAAACAACTTTCAACCAATGTCTTTAGTATATTCTAACAATTATAATTTGTAATAATTAGTAGTAAAAAAAACTAAGAAAGGCATTCAAGTAGTAAAAAAAGAAATGCATTCAATTAGGTGATAGTCATGTACACGAATATAGAATGAAATATAATTTTTTTTCCAACCATTTATGTCAGTAAAAAATGCTAAGAATATAGGAAGATAAATCACGCTGAGAGTGATAAGTAATAACAGCAGTGAAAGCGAACAGATGGAAAGGGGCATACTTTTAAGCGCAAGATTAGGCAAAACTAATGGACCATTGAAAGGGATGCTACAAGATGGGTACTTGCGAACAAGTGCAGTGACTACGATTGAGCTGAAGGCAGAAGCTCAGCAACACGAGCAGAAGTACGGTGCAGCACTACAAGATAGATGGTGATGTCTGCTGCGCTGCAACTGGGTGAAGAAGAAGAACGATGCAACAGGGTGAAGAAGCAAGGACGACAGGGATTTCTTTATTTTTTTTTAGAACTGAGTCAACTCGATAAACTCGCCGAGTAAACCGAGTTGACACTACGTTTCGACCCAGATCCTGTTTCTACTTCCGTTTCGACATGTTTTTGGTCAAAAAAACGTAGAAACGTCCGTTTTTACGTTTCAACACTACGTTTTAACAACCATGACTAATTGAGAAAATTATATTAGGTTTTACTTTTTTTTATTAATATCATTGCCATATGTTTTTTTAAAATCTTATAAATACATATTTTCCTTTCAAATTTTATAAATTGTATTAAAATCCTTTAAAATTCAATCTTATGAAACCTTGAGTGTAAAAAAAGACATTTTAAAATAGTCAGTCCTCCAATTCTAAATAGTCTTTTAAAATCTATAAGATTTTTTTTATCTCAAAAGAGTCTTTTAAAATCTTAATCGAATACACCCCTTATTTTCAACTAATGAACAAATGTATGTGGTAGGCATCAAACTTAAGACTATTTGGTCTAATCAGTAATAGATGAATTAACAACGTTTATCAGATCCATTGGAGCAATCAATTCTTCCGGCCACTCCATTATGTGAAGTGTGTATAAGATTTTATTTGAGAACCAAACACAATTTTTAAAGGGATGAAGCATAAAAAGTTACTCCAAAGTGACAAAGAAACTCAAATGATCCGTTAATATCTACTTTTATGTTTAAAGGGACACAGAACAAACAAAAGTAAGGCCGTTGACGGACGCTTATAGGGACACAGAACAAGCGTGTGTAAATGATTAAAATCACTCTGAATTTTGCCCAATTTTTTTTTGGTAAGAGTGCGTAAGAGACAAATTTTAACGGTTAAAAAATGCATTAAAGGAGATGATAGGGACATAGTGATAGTAACCTGAAATAGAGTGGTGGCATAGGTGATATAATTCCTCATCCTTCCTTGAGTAGTAATTCGTATCTCGTTCTCATTTATAGGACTCTCTGCTTTCGGCTTCTCCACCCTCTGATACCTATCCATCTGAAACAAACCACAAAAGCAATTCTAAGAAACAAAACATCAATTACGCATGCTAGGGTTTAGAGAATCATCTCATCTCACACACCGTTGTGTTGTGCGTGGGTAAGATGGAAGCGCAAATCTGGATGGATGGCTTTGGGGATATGCTAATGCTACCACTCTCTCACACACAAACTCTCTTCTTCTCAGTTGGGGGGTTTGGGGATGTGGGTGTGTGATTTGAATTTTAGGCCCCAAAACAATCAAAGAAAGAAACCCTACACGCGGTGTTTGCTCATAAGCTCTCAATGCCAAAGCAGAGGAATAAGGCTGATGAGTCCTGCTATGAGGTCCCAGTTTTATCGCCAACAGATCGCCAAACACACCCAATGGGCTTTTTTACGGGCCTGCCTACCTATCATCATACTATTTTGCATGGAAAATAATGAGAGAAGATATTTTGACTACCAAAAGTTTTTACTACCACCTTATTACCTATTTAATCACCATTGGATTAACATTTTCTCTCTCTTCAAAAACTTTTTAACATTCTCTCTCTTTGATCCAATGGTGATTTGATAGGTAGTAAGGTGGTAGTGGACACTTTTGGTAGTCAAAATATTCCCCCTCGGAAATAATAAATAGAAACTACCAAAAAAAAAAAAAATAAGATAGAAAAATCTACTGATACATTAGAAGTTAAAATAACTATAACTACTTAAAAAAAAAACTATAACTATGTATTAACTAGGGGTAAGGGGTAAATGAATTATCTCGGCTTTTTGACTTTTATAACTCTTTATTAATAATTAATTCAGTTTTACTTTCATTATAAACTATTTCGAAAATTTGACCCCCTCCAAAAACATAACACCAATCTGTCCATGTTTGACCGTTGACCACCAAGACTACCCGGGTACACCCATACTTACCTGGTATTTTTTGAAATTTTTTGCTTACCCGGGTAGGGATGTGTGTACCCGGGTATTGTTCTTCGCACCTGAGAATTTGCTTGAATTATTTACCCGGGTAGGGAGGGGTGTACCCGGGTAAATCTCGACCAGAAACCCCAATATCAATGGGTTTCGGCTATTGTTGTGAGATTTAGATTTTTTGCCCCTTAAATCTCTCTCCCTTGACCTCTATATTCCGAAACATCACACATATATTTTATCTCATCATTTCAAAAAGCTTAATCTTGGTAGGACATTGGGATTACACCTCCTCCACACTCCTATTTTGTGCTCAAAAACCCGAACTAACCTCCAAACCCAAAACCTAAATCTAATTTTCGTGTGAAAGATGAGTTCAAGTCCAAACATGGTCCCTGTAGTTATTTACTACAATGGAAGGCATTTTGAAGGTCCGAACGATGTCCGATTTGAAGGAAAAACAAAAACGATGAAAATCAAACTGGGCACTACGTGCAATGAATTGAAGGAGAGAATTCTCCAAAAAATGGGGTTAGAAGGCATACAATCCATCCACCGCGTGATAGCCAGGTTAGAGACTGTAGTGGATATGGATACAATATACTACATTGGTAACGATATCAGTGATGATCTATGAAGCACCGACACTTCAAAATCTCTGACGTGTCGTGTCCGACACTCCGACACTTTCCGACACTCCAATACTCGTTGCAAAGACTCAAAAAAGGTTCAAAGGTTACGTTGCATTGCATTTTGAATTCCAACTATTAAATTCGTTGGATTCCGATTACTATTTATTGAGTTTAATATAAACATTTGGGATATCTTATATTTTTTTGCAAAATTGATGGGTATTAAAAGTTGGGATAGGATATTGTGACACCCAAGTTATGTTACACCCATGTGACACTCAGTCAATCTCACCGTTAGATCGCTTATGTTGATCCAACGGTTATATTTATTTCCATCTTTGTATGGTCATGATTTCCCAAATTTAAAGTGAAAGCATTAAATATGGGAAATCATAACCATACAAAAGTAGAAATAAATATAAAATATTAAATTTGGGAAATCATGACCATACAAAGATAGAAATAAATATAACCGTTGGATCAACATAAGCGATCTAACGGTGAGATTGACTGGGTGTCACATGGGTGTAACATAACTTGGGTGTCACAATATCCTATCCCTTAGAAGTTTAGCTTTATTTTTTATTAAATTATTGAATATTACACTACATATATTAAAATATTATATAATATCAAAACGTGTCCTTACGTGTCGAAATTTAACATTTTTTAGAATTAACGTGTCAGAGTGTCGTGTCGTGTTGTATCCCGTGTCCCGTGTCGGTGTCGATGCAACATAGGTGATGATGAAGATGTGGAGTTCGTAACAGATGCGTTTGTTGGATGGAAAGTATTAAAATATATTGAGATATATGTTGAAGTTGATGCTGATCAGTCTTCATCTTTACCGGTGCATACAACCACTACTGCACACTGTACTGGTCAAGAAGATACAGTTGTACGATCTTCCACACCTCCTCATGTAGCATTGGATGAGGATGAAGAGGATGAAGATGAGGAGTATGTGGACAGCGAAGATGAGGGAGAACCTAAAAGTTCTATTCCACAAGGTGATTCGTCAGACACTGACGTGGACGAAAATTTTGACGCTGACACGAGCGCGGTAAGTCTGGGTACCCCAGCCTTGTCACCACTTCATGTTGACCCAGTCAGTAGTGGTAAGTTATTAAATTTTGACATTTGCTTTAGACAATTTATTATTTGTGGTGGTATTCATTCAGACAAATGAGAGTTGATCTTTAGATGCAGGGACTGCGGTGGAGCCTTTTTGGAATGAAAGCCAACATTATTCATTCATTAATTGGGCGCACCCTAATGACGAGTTGGAGATCCTATATGGGGATGATGACTTGCATGGAGGTTGGAAGTTAGGAGATCCATTATTTGTGCAACAAGAATTTGGCTCCAAACCTGAAATGCAACATGTTGTGAAGATACATTGTATGAAGGGGCGCAGGACAGCTAGAGGTGGCAAAGCGGGCTGCCCGCCCCGCCCCGCCCCTGCCCGCCAAAAAGCAGGCTGGCCCGCCCCGCCCCGCCCCGCCATTGAAGGTGGGCTAGATATCTCTGCCCGCCCCGCCCCGTTTGGGCGGCGGGGCGGGCTGCCCGCCAAGCTCGTCACATTTTACACTAGAAATTTAAAAAAAAAAAAAACAATCAGCCTGGGCGGGGCGGGCTTGGCGGGCAGTGGGTTTAGAAAACTCAGCCTGCCCTGCCCCGTTTGGCGGGCGGGGCGGGCCGGCCCGGCGGGCTCGGTCCATTTTGCCAGCTCTAAGGACAGCCATAGTCGAAAAAAGCGATGAGTCAAGATTTGTTATGAAGTTTAAAAACCATGCTGATGGTTGTCCCTGGTATATGTGTTAGTATATGGGTGTCCTAGAGACAATCTTTTGATTAAATGTAGACCTTTATTGTCGCAAATAAATAATAAGCACTCTTTATCCTGTTTCATATTATGTCTCAATATTATTGTAAATATATATTATGAATAAACTGGATAAACCCCTTGGAATAGAACATGTATCTCTTGAATATTTGTGATGAGATCACAATCATGAGGATTCAAGGATACCGCACGTTTATTCCTAATTTTATGTTCCTAGTTTAGAGACACTGAGAATAGGGATCAGTGATCTCGGATAAGACTAGCACGACTTATCTACTTGTATACAGATACAAGGTAAAGACCTCATGTGCTACAAACATGGAGATGTCTTAGCTAAAGTCGTGGGTGGACCTATAAGGGTATAGCTCGCACTGAACAGACCCACAAAGAGACTCTATGAGGAAATCTCACAGAGAGTATCATTAGAGTAGTCTCTTTATATTTGGGTCTGTATTTCCTTAGACCAGAAGTTATTACCTAGACTGTGTTCTAGAAGGCATGCTTTGACTGTATACGTCGTCTGCTTGAAACATGGAGACTCATAGGTATACTGTTGGGCTTGTCCTGAAAGAGCATAGGGCTAGGGTGATAAGCTAAAGTTTGAAAGTTTGAAAGTTTGAATTTGAATGTTTGAATATTCGAATTTAAATATTTGAATTCAAATTTGAATTGGCTATGAAAAGTTGTTTCATAACAAAAGGATAAGATAAGATCTTGTTGGAACAAATCACTAATATCAAGAGGAGATCTTTTGGACATGATCCAAGAAGATTGGGGCGCTGATTTTGGCTGTTGGTGAGTGTCATTTAGTCATCAAAATCAACTCCAAAAGATACGGTCTGTTGGGAGAATATTTGAGTGAGTTGATTCAAGTTTGAATGCAACTACTCAAATGTATCTGGACTCCTTTTGGGACTGAATGGGGCGCACAGTATGAGTGATCATGTGATGACCATCAGGTCAGAATCTTGATTAGATAAAGATCTTATCTCATAAGGATTCAATGGAGAGGTTGTTTGGAGTTTTGAATTGCAACAACTCCTCTATCTCCTCATTTGTTGTGCGCCACTTTCATGGGATTTTGAAGTGAAATATCTGATTTCACTTATTTATTCCCTCACTCTCTTGTGCTATATATAAGTGTGTTCCTCCTTAGGGTTTTTTTAGAAAAGACCTAGCCATTCTCTCCTCCTTCCATGCACCACCTTGTGAGGTTTTCTCTCTGAAAATATCACTCTTCTAAACACATTTGCCTAGCCTCCTCTTTCATACATTAAGCGCATAGCAAGCCTCATTGTGGTGATCAATTGGTAGTTCTACAAGAAGGAGTTCTTGCATCTAGACGCGGGTGGTGTGGATCAATGTTAGAGGGTCTGAACCCTTCAGACCTGACCTTGATCATACTGAAGTTTTACGAACAGGTATAATATACGTCTTAAAGCACGTATCTTGATGTGCATGTGTGTTCCGCTAGCCAAAAAAATTTGTTTTTCCCTATCACATGCCTCGACCTTCAAGGTCATATTACTTTCAAGTGGTATCAGAGCCCGGAAAAATTTGTTTTTCCCTATCACATGCCTCGACCTTCAAGGTCATATTACTTTCAAGTGGTATCAGAGCCCGGTTGCTTTACTATCGGCGAGTGATGGTACCTTGTTTGTGATAATGCTTTTCACGGTTAAAATTTCTTTAAAGAGTTAAAGATTCAATTTTTTTACATATGGATTTTAATATACAATGCTTTAAATCGTTAAAGTTATCGTTAATATGATTGCTATGTTCATATATCCATATGTGTTCATGGTTCTTTTTCTTTTTCTTTATGAAAGTTTTAAAAAAGGAAACACCTTTTGGAAAGGTAGAGTTCGACCATGAAGGGTATTTTAAATACCTTGATTG